GGAATCATATGCGGTGATTAAGCTAAATGAATTCAATGCATGGCACCTCTGTGTACAGAATTATATTTTAATAGGTTTACGATTTGAAAGTATGCATATGTTAAATGGAAGAAAGGATACTACATGTGCAAATAAGAGGACATCTGGTCAAGCTACTCTGCAAACCTAGAATAATTTCCATCCCTTCAGCAAAATCTAGTTGTTTTTGTCCAGTGGTATTTGACACAGCAAATCTGATATACTGAATCACAACCTCCTTCCAGTCTCGCTATTTAGACATACTTGTTCCAGTCCAAATCCTCAGCTAGTGTAAGTTGATAAAGCTCCATTTACTTCAGAGGAGTTATCCTGGCTTACACCAGTTGAGGAACTGGCCCATTTTACTGTATGGATAGCATTTAATTTGTACACTTGACTTCCCTGTGTGCCTGAGACCTCTTATTTCCCTTATCCGATGGTAATACCTCTCTACACTGGATAGAGGAATCTACAAACTGGTACAGCGTTCATGGCAATGTTTATGCCAAAGATAATGAGCCAATTTTGGAGGAGAGTAAGGGGGTGTAAATTGCATGGTAGAGAATGGCTCTAAGGGAGCTGCAAATGATGTAACTTGTGCCTTTTGTCAGCCTCTTACAGAGAAAATTACACCAATTTAGACTCATTTAGCCTAATACCTTATAGGGAACACCAGAAAGTGCCCCAGTCAAAACAGTAGGTTACATTTATTTCAGATAAGCCTAAGGAAACCTGGTTTTATACATTAAACATAGATATGTAAAAAACACCCCACCACTTATGAAAATTTAGAAAATGGGCGCAGATCTTCAGAGGGTATCAATTGTCATAGTTCCACAGGCTTCAACGGACCTATGACCATTGACACCAACTGAAGATCTGCCCAACTCTCTTGGCACTCATACTAACTAATCCAGTACTTAAAATAAACACCACAAGCTAATGAATTGCTACTATTTAACACTCTGGGGCTAGGTCTTGATCCTGAAGGTATTCGGGACATTGTGATTACCTTGTAAGGCAATAGGAATAGAGGGTGCTCAGACTCTTGCAGGACAGGCCTCATCCTTCTGCTGGAAGCTATGACAGTACTGTGATGCTCCTCCATCATGGGCTGATTCAGGCAGACTAGTAATGTGTGAATTAATTGTGTTATTTCACTGATTTCTTTGGCATATTTTACTGCAGGGTCCTGATGATTTCCTTGAATTCAGCCATTATTTATGAGATGGTGTAGTATATAATTTAGTTAAGATAATTAAAAAAAAACTTAGACTGTCTAGAATGTGCTCAAATTGTACTTCCCCTCCCTCCCCAAACCCATGTAGAACATTTATGCTATCAAAGGGAGCATCAGTTCTGCATTTGTGATGTCAAGGAATGTTACAGGAACAGTTTGAACTACAAACTTTATGTAGTGGTAGAATCCCCAAGGCCAGGGAATGCTCTAGCTGATCTATTAGGCTTCTTCTCTCTTTCCAATTTCTACTATTTTTATTCTAGACACAAGAAAATAATCACAGGCCAAATCCTCCTTGCATTGCTCATGCAAAGAGTTCTAATGAAATCAGTGGGACTACTCAAGCAAGTAAGACGAGCAGGATTTGGCACTTCCTGGCTAAGTAAGTCAAGGATAAAATAAGAAAAACCAGCTCCCCAGAAATGTAACATCTAACAACAATCTTTAAGAGTTTTTATTGTTAACTCAAACCATCTCTGTCACTACCAGCTGAAAACAATAGTTAAAGCAGTTCTGTTGCCACTAACAAATCTTAGGCCCCTATTTTTTAAAATCTTGTCAAAAAATTAGACTCCCCCAAACAAAATGACCTGATTCTATGAACTGCTAAATGCTTAGCCGCTCCCAGTGACTCTAATGTGAGCAGGTAATTCATTTTACATTAAAAGTAGATTCAGGAGCTTAACTTAGGCTCCTATTTTTCAAAGTCTTAGACTTCGACGTGAATCATCAAAAGCAAGGTTATTTTTAAATGTTTTACTCTTTAAATTAAAAGAAAGTACAAGATGTTTAAAAGTTTATAAGTCTGATTCAACCCTATTAAAACTGTGTGTATGTTCTTATTCTTGGAACCAAAACTCAAGATATATATATAATAAGGCTCTGTAGTAACAGTCCTACTTCAGCCAAGGCACTCTCCAGTGCTTTGTGGCACCTCTCATTTGTTACAATACAACAAACATACCTATTAAAACCACTGGTACAGTGGCTGTGTGCATACCCTCCAAGTTCAAACATTTTCTCTTGATTACAGTTTGGTAGTAAAGTGATTGCTAGTGAAGTGGATGGCTCGGAGTTTTTACAAGGTAGCCAAAGCAAAAGGGCCAGATTCTTGCCTTGGTGCATACACAAGGTCTCTCATTGAAGTGCACAGGAATCATTCACACACATCAGAGGATAGAATTTGACTTTCAAGCCTGATCTACCATTCTTTGCACAACCAAATTCCCATTTCCTTAATGGCAGCTTTAGCTGTATACACAGTTTTCAGGTTTAATTCACATTAGACCTGATTTTGATTTTCTCCCTGTGTTTAAACTGGGGTAACTATTGGTATCGGGTCAGATTCTAGTCCATTGTTTCTTTGATGTAACTTTTTATGCTATTTTAAAAAATTAAATAACTTGGCATTTGTTTCAGCTACTGCATCTGCCTTCAACAAAGCGTTCTACTTTTTAACAAATTTCATAACTATAAAGCTGGTTAAAAAGAAATCCAAGTCAATTTTTGTAACAAACTAAAAGGCTACATAATAATTAAAAAATAAGGCTGTAACCCAATGAAAAAACTCAAATTCAAGAAACTTACAGTTTTAAAAAAAATCTGAAGAAAATTACTTCTCTAAAAGGGTTTTTAATGCCAATCTGTGCAAGCAAAATGGACATCTTTGGAGCTATTCTTGTCTTCCAAATAAATAGTGTCCACACTAATCTTTTTAAAGAAGCCCTTTTACCTTACAGTGATGGTACTGGTTTTCTGTTCAATTATAATTTTAGACCTAAAACCTGTGGACCATTAACACAGGAGGAATTCTGTTAAACTCAATGAGTGAAATTCTGGCCTCAGTGAAATCAATAGAAGTTTTGCCATTGACTTTAATGGGGCATGGATTTCACCCAGTGATGTTAAAACATATGCATAAACTTCCTCAGAATTGGGACCTTAGGTAATTCTCTAAATGTACAACATATCAAGTATCAAATCAACATATCAAATCCAGGATGGCTTCTCTCTAATTTACTGTGTAACTATGTAAATTACGTTTACTTAACATTGCAAGGGGATGAAACTTTCTTGCACTCAGATTAAGAACAGTTGTCCAGAACTTGTTAACTTTAACAAAATGGATCTCTGTTTCAGATTCAATTTGCCAAATCCATTTGTACAGTGAAGTTAAGACACATAAAATATGTGATTATAAAACTACAAACACAACTTTTATCATAGGCAACATATTAACGTTTTAAAAAATATATTTCTATTTGAAAATCTTGGCTACAGCACCCCCAGGAGAGGAATCCAGAGCAGGGGCTGATGAAAATATAACACCGGAACCAAATTCTGCTCAGCCTACGTGTGTGGCTCCTTTTACTTCAATAGGAGCAGCATGAGAAGATCAAAAGCAGAATTTGGTTCACAAAATTCCTCTCATGTACTTTTTAGCATTTTCTTTTTAATACAAACACAGCCAGTAGAGTTCTGAGTGGAGTATGTGTAAATTGAGACAATGCTAATTAAGTGAAGGGAAATCACCTCTCTTCACAAAGCAGTAACAGTTGACAGAGCTATGGATGTCAGTCCTGCAGAATTATCCCTGTGCCTCTTTATTCACACCTGACCATATGCCATTTGCCCAGCGAAGCCAGAATACTTACTGGAATAGCACAGTCAAATGACCATCAAACTGTTTTGGAAGAAAGCTCCCATGATTGAGCAGAAGCAACATTATGAAGTTCAATAGCTGTTATTTTAACAGGGTAAAGGAATTCCCATTCCTAAATGCAATTAGACTAGATTACAGACAATCCATTTGCTAAACTGTCAACTCTCAATTTTAATTTTTAAAAAATAGTTAAAGTCATACAGGGCCAAACTGAGCTCTGCTACATCAGGGTAATTCCCAGGGGCAGTTTCTGCTTCCCTTATTCACATTGAATAGTAACTGATGCTTCGATCCTGCAAGGGGTCAAACACTGTGTCCTTATTCAGTAAAGCATATATACACCGGCTTACCTTCAAGCATGTGAGCAATCCCATTGTCTTTAACAGACTTCACCTTCAAGTCATGAGGACTGCTGCTGCGTTTAAGTTATTTGCAAGATCGAGCCCTACCTCTAGGAGTAGTTCCACCAACATCAATGGGGCTAAGGGTGGAGTTTAATTCTATTCAAAGTGATTAAGGGAAGCAGAATTAGATCCATAACTTTAGAAATCTTTTAAAACAGCCAAATGATGAGCTCTAAAATTTGAGGTGGAAAGTCATACCCAAACAACATATATTATGTAATGGCTTCATATGAGGTCTCTTCAACTGCTATACGCACAAGTTTGACACATACTTCTCACATTAAAGTGTCCTTGAAAACAATTATTTTGTTGGCAAACACATCAACAGAACAATTTTATTGCAGTGGGGGAAGAGAGGGGAACCCATGGATGTCAAGACAGCATCAGTTTGAGTTCTCTCCCCCACCCCATTAACCACTGTTTTTATAACAGCCAATCGTCATGTGAATTTTTGATATGAATCATTTAGGGTGGTGGGGTTTTTTTTTTTGTTTGTTTTTTATGAAAGAGCTTAGTAGCCCACACATATTGCAATACACATGTTCTAGCATAGACAGCACAGTAAATATACTGAGCAGAAATCTGCAGTTTTTGGCATAGACCAAGTTCTTCATGCTGTTTTTCATCTTCTGTATCATAACTAGCATCACGTTCTATTAACCGTCAAAATTTAACCGTCAAAATTATAACGCTCATGATAAACTAATTTTATCCAGCCTGCAGTAGCTGAAGATTTATAAAGGATTCTCATACTTGCCAGATCCCCTTCAATGCTAATACAGATTTTACACTTCCATTCCTCAACATCCACCCATCTTCAGAGTTAAATAGATTATTTGCTAGAATACCAAAGCCAGTGAAAATGTAATCCATAGACAGATGTGAAACATCAAGAGTGGGCATTTTTTTAAAAAGGAGTATCATCTCACCCTTTATCCCATTTTGTGTACACATTAATTTCACCCTTTGGAAAGCACCTCTTCCGTGGCAAGCAAAATATTGATTATTCACATTGGCTTTTTATCACAGTGATCCATTAGGGAAGCAGTCATGTGCTGAACAACAAAGTTTTTCATCCAGGAGATGTGCTTGTTGAATCTTCAAAGAATTTTTCTAGGGTTCTGACTCCTGTTTAAAAGAGAGGGGACAAAATCAACTAACTGTGTAGTTCTTTATTCTTCTTTAGGTCTGGGGATACTTATTACAGCTTGAACTCATATTTGTTCCTACAAGTATAACTGGATGAACAAATATACCTTCCAAATATGGAGTTAGAGTGTGTGTGCATTTGCAATTACAACTGAAATTTTCCACACCAAATACAGTACCTGAACATTGCCATGCAATATCTAAGGGACCATCATCAACTGGAAGATCACACTTCTGTCTGAAATGGTTACCCACCTTTATGACAAGTAACACCCAAGATCACCCTATAACTGCAAGAACCTAGCAACACAATAACATTAATGTTCGGTTACTTTGAATGCTTGCCAGCCTGTCTGGTCAGTTTCAAAGTTTAGTTGACAGCCAGCTGCACTTCTTGCCTCACGTTTTAAAACTAGATCATTCACATACTGTTCTGGGGGACTTCACTCTTCTCCTGGCCTGCAACAGGGTGCTTTCCAATAACAGAGCAACGAGCAGCTGCTGTTTCTGATTTGGGGGTCAGAAGGGAAGCTTTTTCCTGGGACTCTGGCTTGAAGGTAGGGAGCAAGGAAAACCAAAGAGGTGGCTGCCAGAGGAATCTCCTTCTGCACTTCCTCACCCCCTGCACAGTGCACAGACTTCAGTAATAACAAGTCTCTAGAAGAAGGGAATCCTTCTTTATGGATATTTATTTTTTCATAGATAGCCCTGGGCCAGGATTTGGCCCCTGATATAGCACTTGTGGCAAAAGGAGAATAAATTCAAAGGATCCAAGGGCGAAAATAAAACTTGCCCAGCTGTTTGGCCCATTGCACAAAGGATCCTCGTACAGTGAGACAATGAGATAGTCCAGGATCACAACAGGTAAAGCTGTACTATATCAGGAATTATATTGTCTACTCAACAGGAGAAGCTAACTGCATCTGACGGTTGCCGTGCATCCTATGCACTTCCTGCTACATACATACTTCCTCCAAGTTTTAATTGTCCCACAAGGAACTGCTACAAGGAAGTGGCTTCACCAACACCCTGAATCAGTTAAGTGATTTTTTTAAACATCTACTGACCAAATGTTGACCATCACTAGCTGTTTTTCCAGATTATTTCCAAAGCAAGACAAAGATGTTTTTGCATCCTTAGCTGCACTTATGTCAATGATTAACGGCCAAGTTCTGCTGATACATCAGGGTAAATCCTGAACAGCCACTCTGAAATCAGTGGAGTCACTTTGGATTTACACTGGTGTAACACAGCAGAATTTTGCCCTCAATGTGTAATTGACAGAAGATAATTACAGCTTCTATTATATATCAGAAATTAAAACAGGTAAGATTTTGTTTGGTCTAACATGCTTTTCTGTTTATTATTCCAATTTCACACAGCTCACTAGTATAATATTGGCAAAGAAAGAGAGAGAGAGGAGCATCAGCATGAACATGCTGACCTCTCACAACTTCTCTCAAAGCAAATTCAAGCTGAAGATTGCAAGAGGAGTCAAGGGTCTGTAAATCAATATTCACCTTTGATGCCAACCTAGGTTTCAACCCTAGAAAGGAGAAGACAGTGTTGCTTTCCTTTGCTTCAAAAAAACATTCATAATCCTAGAGAAAAGAGAGTAGAAAAGATTAATTAACATTTCAAAAGCTGTTTTTCCACATGATATTTTTATATTTATGCTATCAAAGCTCTGGTTGATATGTAACTATGCTGGGGAAAACAGTCAAACACTTGTGTTCTGCTGTATAAACCTGACAATTATTCTAAATTTAATGAGAATTCCAGACCCAGTGGAAGAGTTCAATTTCTCATTTAGGTTCTCTTTAGTTTTCCATTTTCTTCAGATATCAAGTAAAGCCTCCAGCATCTGAATGGCCAAATGAATGATCCATCTAGTGCAGTATCCTGCCTCTGACAGTGGACAGTACTAGATGTTTCAGAGGGAATAAACAGAAACGGGCAATTTCAAGTGATCCATTCCTGTAGTCCAGTCCCAGTTTCTGGCATTTGGAGGTTTAGGGACACCTGGAGCATGGGGCTGTGTCCCTGACCATCTTGGCTAATAGCCATTAATGGACCTATCCTCCATGAACTGATCTAATTCTTTTTTGAAACCATTTATGCTTTTGGACTTCAAACATCCCCTGGCAACAAGGTCTACAGGCTGACTCTGTGTTGTGTGAAGAAGTACTTCCTTATATTTGTTTGTTTTTTAAAATCAATATTAATTTACATATACAAGAAATGTCTGAAAGGTTCTTGGTCCCATATTTTTAAAGATATATAAGCACCTAAAGATGCAGATAGGTTCCTAGTGGGATTTTCAATCTGCATCTTAAGGCACCGAAATACCTTTTAAAAATTTGCCCTTGCTGAGTTTATCAGCTCAACTCCTTGAACAATCCTTTTCTCATGGAACAGATACCTAAAGACTCTGCCCTTTGAAACCAGAAATCATTAGCCAGTAATTTAGACAGTATGAAATTACTGTATCCTTTTAGAAAAATAAGTGAGAACATGTTTTCAGACTTGGCCAGTGAACAAGTTTCTGCTACAGCACAGATCTATTCCTTGGGTCATTATGGTTTTCCCTGACTATGTACAAGTTAGATACTACAGGGGAACCATTCATGAGCTGTCTTGTGGTGCCTTTGATATTGTTTAGGTTAAATATCTACAGAGGCAAGAGAACAAAGACAGATCTGAAGAACAATAAGTAGGGTTGTCAACAGTCCCTTATAACAAGGGCTATCCCTTATTTTTTCATTTCTGTACAACAAGATCTGGAGTTGCTGAGTTCTGCAAAAAGCAGCAAGAAATACCCCTGGCAAATGTGGGTGAGTACTACTTATTAATTATTATTATTATTATAATGATAATATCAGGAGTAGGAGTGGAGCGGGGGTGCTAAAGAAACAGTCCCTTATTTTTCAAATACAACATTGGCAACCCTAGCAATAAGTAAAGAACCAGGGGATTTAACGCAGACTTACAAAGAAAACTGTGCTGATCTAAAATGGTTCTGCCAATTTAGAAAATTGAAGTTATGGGTGTGTGAGAAATCAGCATGTGGTGTATAACTCACTCTTTAACCTATTAAGTTAAATTAATTTTTTAGTAGGTCAAAGGCCTAGCACTTCTTGAGCTCCTGATGAATGTACAGCTCACCACTCTTGTCTATCTACCACATAGCTCTTGCCCTCACCTTAAAATCTGAGGTGATTTAGCTAACCAACTGGTACAAGACTGGGAGTCAGGAAGTTCTGTGGCTCTGTTATGGAGTTGCAGTGTGACCAAGGGCAATCAACTTAATATCTTGTACAGCTTCCTTCCCTCCCACCTAAATCTAGAAAATGGGAATACCAATGTTTATCTAACTACTTATGTGTCGGACACAAGGCTGGTAGAATACCTAATGTCTATACATCATATTTCAAAAATAAAAGCACAATGCATGTGCTAAGTAGAATTTACTATTAATTCTCATATTTCTTAGCTACTAGTTACTCCAAAAATCAAAAGTATAAACGCAGTAAGATTTGGGATAAATCCCTTTATGATACTGAATGATCACAAATACACACTGCATTGTTTACTTAGCTCAGCTTTGAAGGATTCTCCAAAAACTTCTCAGCCCAGGTTAAAAAAAATAAAATAAATCTATTAGCCCACCTTTAACTCTTAATGCTAACATGCACAGCATCCGTGTCTCCATACACCCACACACACACACGTCTCAGCCACTCAACACACTCATCCTCAGTTCTCTCACTTGAGCACCATATTTATCACTTCTCTTCCTCCTACCCTTCCCAGACTCATTATTTCTCTTTGCTGACCCATAAAGTATCACTTCTCAGCATTGCAACTTCATTACAAAAGCAGTTGCTTCAGACCCTCCCCCAGTCAGGCCTCAGCACTCTTCCCTGCAGTTGGGCCTCAAGTTTTCCCCTGATGGCAGGTGACATATCTCTCCTTCTAGATATGTTTAAGCTTTGATTTCCCAATTCCTCCATGCTCCCAGACTGGGACATGGAGAATCTGGGTAACCACTACTTCTTCCATTTTGGCCCTCCACTTGTTTTCTGAGATACAGAGCCTTCTTGAACTCGCAGCATATGTCGATCTTAAGGCTGCATTTGATTCAGCTGACTAAGGGTATGTCTTCACTACCTGCCCGATCAGTGGGCAGTGATCGATCCAGTGGGGATCGATTTATCGCGTCTAGTCTAGATGTGATAAATCAATCCCCAAGCGCTCTCCCGTCAACTCCTGTACTCCAGCGCTGCGAGAGGTGCAGGCAGAGTTGACGGGGGAGTGGCAGCAGTCAACTCACCGCAGTGGAGACATCACGGAAAGTTGAGCTAAGTATGTCAACTTCAGCTACATTATTCACATAGCTGAAGTTGCATAACTTAGATCGATCCCTGCCCCCCAGTGTAGACCAGGGCTTAGGCACTCTGAGCAAGGACTTAAAGGACGTAAGTGTTCCAACCACTCTGCTGGACTTGATCAGCAAGCTGCATAATGGAACCATTGCCCATGTATGTCTCGGGAATCAGACATCGGCACCTTTTAAAGCAGTATCTGGTGTCAGGCAGCACTGTGTCTTGGCCGCTGCACTCTTTAGTCCAGCAATGGATTTCATAACCTGACGGAATGCTGCATTAAGATCGTGGTATTATGCTTTCAGACCTTGACTATGCTGATTATGCTGTTCTTTTAGTACAGAGCCCCAACAGGTTTCATGAGTCAGTCAAGGTTGGCCTCCATGTTTCATGGAAAATGACAAAGCTGCAAAGCCTACAATTAGGTCCACCCACGACTCTAATCTCTTTGAATAATGAAACTGTTGAAGCAGTTTCCAGCTTTTATTATTTAGGTTCTATACTCATCAGTTCCTCCAACTCTCACATGGAAGTTCTTCACTGGATTGGCATTGCAGTATCTGCCATGGGTCATTTATAATGAATATGGCATTATCATCATCTCAGCAGGACAACCAAATTCAGGATCTATTTAAGCTGTAGCCTCTCCGTACTGCTGTACAGTTGTGAAATATGGACACCATGCTGCTCAGACTGGGCAAAGCTAGAGGCTTTCCACACAGAATGCCATCATCATATATTGGGCACAAAATGGAATGACTTCATTCGTAATGCAGACGTTCATCGTCGCTCCGGCCTACAGACTGCTGGGGCCATTCTCCACAGACAGCGTCTTATGCAATTTGGACACGTCGCCAGAATGCCGCAAGACATTTCTGCAAATGCCATTCTCCGCGTGGCTTGTAACATTCGGGATAAAATTTCACCAACCGAGGGGTGGATGCGGCCCAGAGGCAGACCCCTATTATATGGGTGCATCAAATCTGCTCTGACTTTTAACTCTTGGCTCATCAAGCCCTTGCGGCTGCACAGAAACGGACCAAATGATCTCTACAGTGGACCTTTTGGCTAATTGCTGAAGACGACTACTTCTTCAGAACCCTTCCCACAGCACTCCACTGACTCTTTATAATCCTGTATTTATGAGCATCCAATTAACCCCTTCCTTGCTTCACCATAGTAGCTGTTAATGTATCTTCCCCAGTTCCCCTCAACACCCCCAAAACAAATAAAGCAAACAAAGATCAAACCAAAACCTAAGTATTTTCACAGCAAGGCCAACAAAACAAATCTGGAGTTTTTAGGTCATCATTTGTAGATATTGGCTCTGCTGCACCAAAGCACTCAAGAACATGCTTAGAGTTAAGCACCTTGGTAGTCTAATTTATTTCAAAAGGCCTTTTCAGGTACTCAGAGTTAAGCATGTGCTTGAATGCTTTGCTGGATTGCAGCCATTATGAGCCAAATTATGGGTCACATTTTTCCCAAAAGAGAACTTCACCTCAATTTTCAAGACACCATAACTTTAAAATTCCATTTCTGTGGGTTTAAACCACCTCCCCCCCACACACACACAAAACTTCCCATACAGACTCCCTGGGATGAAGGCATGCAAAATTCAATTTTTTTCAAGGAATTTAGATGGGGTAGGGAGTTAAAATCAGGTTCATACCAATAAGCTAGCTTCATCCTGAATTATAGATCAGCTAAGGCCACTGCATAACTAGTTTCTATTTTGTTTTCTACCAAATCTGTATGTGTCTAGGAGTCTGCTGTCTTCTGAGGACAGCTGCCATTTTGTGAGGTACATTTGGGGAAGCATTTTAGAGGAGATGTAATGTGTTATCTCATGAAGACTTTACTTTTGTCATTTCTTGTTTGTTCTTTCCCTTCAACTAAAATAAAAATTTATTCTGACTGAACATATATAGCGACTGTTTACATATAGAGAACATAACACCACTGAAGTTAATGGTCATTGTACAGCTATGTGAAAGTGCAGAATTTTATCCAGATGCTCTCTGGTACAAGAGACTAGAATACATGACTGGTGTAGGCGGAAAGCTTTGGGCTTCGGAAAAGAATGTTTTCTGCAATGCTGTAGGCTGAGGTAATTCAATATTCTATAACTAAACTTTATGTCTAGTGACACTTTCCATTTATTCAGGATCCATGTAAGCATGCTTCTTTAGTCCTACCCATCCCCAATTAAATGT